GAGGAGGGAGAGAGCGAGTGAGGGAGGAGGGAGGGAGGGAGAGGGAGGGAGGGAGGGAGGGCCATCTCCAGAGAGTAGGACATTGAGAGAACATTGAGATGCTTACCGATCCCAGGATGCGCCACGTGTCAGACGCTCAGAAGCCGACGGCCGCGTGCCAGGGGGCGGAATTGTGGAAGAGAACGGAGGAGGAGGGAGGAGCAGGGGGTGTAGAAGATGCCGACGATGAATTGACGGCCTCGCTGCGCTACCTCTGTACCTTTACAGTCGCCAATCGTGTGAAACGGCGGGCAAGGTATAGACAAAGAAATGGACAACGTATTTACCGCTAGAAGCTCATAATATACATTCGGTTTGGCAGTTTTTCTTCATCCGTTGTAAGGTTTTTTTTTTTTTTTTTATGTCTAAGTTGCCAGAAAAAGATGTTTTCCCAAAAAGAATAAAAAACAAAAACAGATGGCGGTCGACTGTCCCTTCGTTCTCAATGTCTTGTTAGGCCCCAATGTAAGGGTTTTTTTTTTTTTTAACCCAATGGAAGTAGCCCGCGTGCTTGGATGGTTTGCCTAAAAAAAAAAAAAAAAAAAAAAAAAATGGCGGGTGCACAGGTCAAAAGAAAAGAAAAATGGCGGGCTTGTCTTTTTGTTTTTGGCCGATTGAATTACCTGTCATGGCTGCCACCTATTCTCATATCGGAGGGGTCACCTTCCTGGTACTATTCCAGCTCAACCAACGGTAGTGGGTGGCCTGAGGAGAGCGACAGTAGGACTGCCTCCCTACCCTACCCCTCACATCAAATTCTCCTAACGCACCCCCAGGGGCAAGGTCCCCCTTGCACGGATTAAGAGATTCTGGCCGTTGATCTTTGCTATCTACGGTCAATATCGCTTAATCCGTGTAAGTGGGACCTAGCCCCAGTTAAAGGAGGCCTCAATTTTCAGAAAAGACAACATCGCATGGCATTTATAAGAAAACCCCCAACCAAGTCAAATACCTGGAGCAGGGGTCCCACTAGCAACGGGGATTGGATTAAGATCCTGAATCTGGGCATGTTTTAGGCAGAGATGCAGAAAAGGAGTTCAATCTCGATTTTCTGCACATGTCCACAAACGCGGCCAAATTAAGGCGGTCAATCCAATCCTCTTTGCTAGTGGGACCTCGCCCCTGCCGATTCTGGACAGGACGGCCTTTCAGGCGTTTTTTTTTTGTCATTATAATTTATTTTTTTATTTTTTTTGGGACCATTTTTTTATTTTTATTTTTATTTTTTTTTTTTTTGACCATTTCTCGATTTATGCGTGTCATCCTTGCGCACGGGCAATTTTGCTAATTTACCCTTCTCTGTATCGTTCCAGTCTTAACAGACGGACTCATTATAATATTGGGGGTTTGTCATTATATTATAGTGTTATTATGGGAAACCCCGTAGCAGGCACATCCGTGCTCAAGCCTCCAACGAGGGAACATGCCGGAGCCCCACCCACCAGCAGGTGGGGGATACCCGCCAGGGGTCAGCCGGTAGCATCAGGACCGAGCTTCTTCGACGGGCCAGTCACTGTGCCTCCCCTCCGGTGGTGGTCCCCTCCACCTATGAACATGAGCAGTCTCTGCTCAATGCCACTCGGCGGGACCAACGGCATATCTCTAGGTGGCCGGCGCCAAGCTTGCCCAGGAACCTACATGATGCTGAGGGGGTTGAACCCAAGACCTCCTGAATGCCACTTGCGTGCCTTACCAACTGAGCTACCTCCTTCCCCCGAACAAAAACGCACCCTCATTTTGATTGTACCGGACCGGAAACCTAGCTTGTATATGTTCATTTTCAGGGTGCGTTATGTTCGGGGGGGGAAGACCGTAGACTGCTGACAATGCTGCGGCGCTGGGGCGAGTCGTGTTGCTCTGTAACCTAGCAGGTTGGGGGCGTAAGGCCTGCAATCGCCTGGGAGAGAACAGGATTACAACAAAACAAAAAAAAAAACAAAAAAAAGGGAAAAAAAAAAAAGTTTTGGCGGGTCTCTTTTTTTTTTTTTTTTTTTTTTTTGAAAGCCTTTGTGTCAGCCCTCTATCCCGGCGGTGGTACGAGAACCGCCAGGATTGACGGCTTGTCTGTCGGGCTGCTCCATCTAATGGTGGGGAGGGGCACCTGCTGGAAACCGGGTCCAGCGTCCCATTGATACATCTTGTAGCTCAGCAATTGTTGGTCATTGTGGAGGCCGCACGAAATGTGCGCTAACGCAGCGGCGATAGCGGCGGTGGCGGCGCCCGGTCGTCGGTGGTGGCTGCGTAGGTCGTGACGTCGAGACGTGGTGACGCTGATCCTTCACGTGGCGCCTACCCTGCCAGGCTCCATAGCTGTGTGAGAGCTATGGTGACAGTGCCCTGGAGTAACCTTGCCCTGGAGTGGGGAGGGAGTGCTCTGCACTCATCGCCATGGCATACTGGCAGTCCCATCCTCTATACCTGAAGTCTATACCAACCTATATACCTAATAGGATCCAGATACCAGAGGAGCCGCCCTCCCCTTAAGCCTCCTGCTTGGTAGGGGGGGCTCCTTTTCAATACTCAAAGGCCGGGTGTGGGACACACAGGGCATGGTATTTCGATCGCCTCGGTCTTGAAGTAAGCACGGACGGCGAGGCGGCGCATCTAGACGCAGTGGGAGAGCGTTTGGTTGCGGTGGCAGCGCTCCGGCTTGCCCAAGGACTATAGCAAGGCGTGGTTGTTTTATCTACCTTTTCACCATCTAAAGACTGCGTGCTGCACGTCACAACAGGATAGCTGGACTGCTCTACTCATTACAAAAGTTTGAAAAGCGGAGCGGCGTATCTGGATGCAGTGGGAGAGCGTGCGGCTGCGGTGGCAGCGCTCCGGCACACTTAAGGGCTGCAGCAAGTCTCGCTGGCATATTTTGTCGCAAGGCAGTATGTTGATCACTTGTTTTGTGTTCGGCGTTTTGTTTGGTTGGGTTTGCCATAGGTCACCGAAGCCTTGAGTGGTGCGGGGAGTGTTCCACACTCGACCTACGGCCATCCTGGAACACTGCGTTTCATGCATTTAATTACGGCAGTTTCCGGAATTGAAGATGATGAAGACATGAGTTTCTCTTGGGCCTGTGAAGCCTCGAAGTCCTATGGAGTTTACAGTTGTTTTGCAGTTGAATTTTGTAATTTGCTCTTGTTGATTAGTGTCATTTGCCTTATTCGACATCGCGGGGAATTTTGAAGCCTGTTTGGGTTTATACCTGTAGTAAACCCCTGGGATGTTCTCGTTATTGGTGGTTTTCTGAGTGTACCCTGCCTATTAGGGCATATCGCAGTCTATTTCGTAAAAGTGGGTGTTCTTTAAGCCCAGGAAAGTGTAGGGTCATCCAAGCCTTGAGTGGTACGGGGAGTGTTCTACGCTCGACCCTCGGTTATCTTGGGATTTCCTGCGCACTATTCATCGCTGAATGGGAAATCAATATATACGTCGAAGTTGGTTTGGGTTCTTACATGTGGTAAGCTCCCAGGACTCTTCCTGTTGTGACTGACTCTTTCAGGGTACTCTGTCTCTTAGAACACACCGTAGTTTATTTCGTAAAAGAGGTGGTTCTTTAAGTCCAGGAAACAGTAATGTTGGGTCACCCAAGCCTTGAGTGGTACAGGGAGTGTTCTACGCTCGACCCTTGGTTTTCCTGGGAATTCTGCGCCTAATGCTCCACTGAAATTTCCTACGGCAGTATCTGTAAAATTAGATCATAAAGACATGAGTTCCGTGATGGGTCTGAGAAGCTCTGTAATCCTTGGTGTGGCGGCACCATTAGTGAGAGTGGGAGGCTTACTAGTGGCGGTGGGACCGTCGCCCGGGCGCAATAGGTAAGTCAATTCCCAGCCTTAATCGTGGTTGGAGGGATGGCTGACCTTTAGATTAGGGAGGGAGTCACAGGGTCACCCATGCCTTGAGTGGTGAGGGGAGTGTTCTACGCTCAACGTTGTGTCACTTGGAAATTATCGTCAGTTTCCTTTTCCTCCTCTTTAGGCGCAGTCATTCATTTCCTTTCCTCTGTATGGGAATTTTCTTGGTCTTTCCACATGTGGCTGTTTTTTACTAATATGGAATTGGATGGGTTGGTGTTTAATCGTTTATTTTTGGGAGACAACACCATCASGTTTAGTTTGAAGTTGGTACGATTTTGGGTTGAAATTTGGGTCTATTTAGTTAGTTTTGGAATAATTTAGGGTTAAAACTGTAAAATTCCTCGTGAATTGCCTTGGGCATTTTCGGATTTGCAGATTATAATCTGTAGTCCTTGCCAATAGTGTCTCGACGTTAGAAACACGCCGGTGTTGTACCTTTCTTCTGCGTTGCAAGGATATTGTGTTATAGGCTGAAGGATTGGAGAGGTTTTGTTGTTGATTAGTTCAGCCGCCTTTTCTGTGCTTCAAGGCTATTTTGAGGAGTTCTGTCCGATTGAGTTTGGGAGGTCATGGGACGCTGGACCCGGTTTCCAGCAGGCTTTACCTCGTCAACACCGGGTAGAATTGTGAGGTCCCCGGCCTCGACCACTTCTGTTTTGAAATATAAAAGTGACAACTTCTCAAAAAAAAATAAAAAAAAAATAAAAAAATTGTTGGTCATTGTTTCTTGGGGTTGTGGTTGTTTGTCATGCTGGCCTCCGGGACTCCATTGTCCCATGGAGCTGCTAGTAACACCCATCCCATCTTGGAGCACCCCTTATCTGTTAACACAGCCCTGTCCGACAGCCCCCCTGTCGATTGTTTCCTAGTCTGACCTTTTAAACCCTTCCAACCCTATACCCACTCCTTTCCCCTGCATAGCATGCTTAACATATTGTCTATCCTTGGAGACTAAAAGATCTGAAGATCTGCAAGGAGGACTGCCAGGAGGTGATTAGCGATGCAATGCAATGTAGTTCGATAGAACTGGACTCGTTGAGAGAGGATTATGTCTATTCATCTAACTTTTCAAACCCTTTAAACCCCATACCTTCTCCAATCCCGTGCATAGGATGTTCTCGATCCCTGAAGCCTAAAGATCTGAAGATCTGCAAGGAAACCAGGCAGGAGATGATTATTGATGCAGTGTGAAGCAGTGTCGTAAAGCACGACTCATTGAGAGAGGAATATGCGTATACCTATAGTACAACTACCTGGCTGTGGGGATTGTCAGGTACTGTGAAGACACGAACTGCATGTCTCGCTATCGCCTTTCCAGCCATCGTGGGGGGTGGCTCTGCTGA